CACCACACTTGAAACAAACAATATTATTTTGTTTCTTGTGTCTAATAATCTTCGTATACAAATTTTTCTTCAGTGTTGCGACAAACACCTTGGTATTGCCATTCTTTTCCTCTGTGTGCCCTCTTCATTCGCCTTGTTCTATAAGCTTAATGCAGAGCGTTTTAACCGATGGTAATTCATCCCTGGTTTCGATAGCCACCACGAAGATTTCGAATTTTAGTGGAAGGCTCGACCGTATCTCGATTGAATTTGCTAATTATTGATTATTATTTGGTTATAACATTTTAATAAATGTTCTGATTTGTATATTTTTTGGCAAGCAGATGGGTGTTAATAATAACAACAAAATGTTAAACAAATTTTTACAAAATATTGAACGGTTGTGTGCACCGCAGGAAGTCCAAGAATGTGCACGCTTTATCCCAATAGTCTACCTCTTATAGTTTCCAAGATTTCAGCGTTCATACGGACAGACGGACATGGCTATATCGACTCGACTAGTGATCCTGATCAGGAATATATACACTTCATGGAGTCGGGAACGCTTTCTTCTAGCTGTTACATACTTTTCCACGAAATTAGTACACCCTTTTACTCTACGGGTAACGATTAAAAAAAATAAACCTTTTTAAATCATATCTCGAAAAACCAAATCGCAAAAGCAGGCTACTTCCCTTAAAAATCATTTTTGTAGCATTGCTGAAATATGATGAATTGGGGTTTATTTCAGTGAATTGCCATATATCCTACAATTTGCACTCGATTTGCAAACTTTTGGCCTCACCTACTCGCGATTTATATATATATATGGTATTGTGGCGACAGACAGATATATACAAGCTTTTATGATGCGAGATCTCAATATATGGCTATGTGGGCGGTAGTCAGATTTATACGTTATGGGCGATTTTTAAGTCAATCGATAGGTTTTGACGAGACATGTAAGACAATTGGATATTATCTGTAGCTTATAAAGGTTAGGAATAATATAGTTTGTACATATAAGAGTTACATAAGTTTTGATATAAACTAACGCGACTATTCAACTGAAACATCAGTCCCAGATGCCACGTCCTCTCAGTTGAAAGGTTTTCATCTTCCTCCTCGTTGCTACCATAGGGCCACAGCTTCACGAAGTCAGCGCTGTTAGTCGTCTGTAGTGGACCCTCAAAATCGGCTGCTTTCTTTACATCATACCTGCCTTTGCGCTTAACCTGTATGCCTTCATCTGGTCCCACATATTTGTTGGCTAACTTTTTGCCGGTTATAAACTGCGTCACCTTGATGGCAACCAGATCACACAACTGTCCTTTTCTCTTCTTGTCAAAGTTATTCTTGTCTGCGTTCGTTGACTTAGTGGGAAACAACCAAGTGTATTTATTAAATCCATCCGCAATTGCAAATATGTAGCGGAAGCTTTTTGATGTCATGTCTAATAAGCCCAGATGATCCACATGAAGCGTTGGAAGGGGTGTATCTCCTTTGTTTATAGCGTGCAAGAAGTAGTCCTGCTTCCCGAATTTCTGATTATGTGTGGTGCATTTGATATAGTTGGAAATAGTCTGCTTTACTTTCTTCTCAAGGTGGGAAATGTGAAAATCCTGCCATGTCTTGAAGCCTCAACGTGTAATTGAGTTTTGGCGTCTTGACTCCGATCCTTCAGGACTGGCTCCTCCATAAGTGCTGCCTTTAATCGATCAACGGCTTGTTTCTGTTCTCCTTTTATTTTGAAAACAGCATCCTTTTCTAGCAGCTGCGTTAGAAATAAAGGCGTAATCCTTAACAAACTTGCGAAAATGCCCTGTTAGACCGAGGAACGGCTGTATACCTCTGATGTTGACTGGCATAGGAAAGTTTTTGACTTCCTCGATTTTCTCTTTTCCTGGCCTTTCGTACCCAAGAAAATTGATATGCTGTTATAGAAAGTGGCATTTTGACCACTTTATGTCAAGACCGTTCTGCTGGGCCTGCTTCAAGACGCGTTCCATGTTGCTTAGACATTCATCGGCTGTTTGCCCAAAAACAACAATGTCATCGATGTACATTTCCAAAATACCTGCATTTATCAGCTGTTCAAAGAAATAAGTGACAAAAACTTCGGGAGAATTGCAATACCCGAATGGATCTCTGTTGAATGCAGTGTATTTTCGGCTGGCCTCATCAATTTCGACATGGAAAAATCTATTTTTCAGATCGAAGACTGAAAAATATTTCGCATTTTGCATCTTATCAATCACTTCGTCTATGAGTTGAACTGGGAATCAATTTTTAAGAACCTTACTGTTTAATATACGGTAATCTATGCACAGTCAGTATGTCTTATCCTTCTTCTTGGCTAGCATAACTTTACTAGCAACATCTAAACATGACTCTCTTACAATTCCCAGCTGCAGCCATTCCTTCATCTGTAAGCGAACTGTTTCTCTTTCTGCTGCGGAAGATCGGCTTGGATGTTCTCTAAAAGCTATGTTGGTGTAATTATTCATGACTCACCATATTGTAGATATTATGGTCATTCTCGGCAACGGTGTCGTCTCCTCGTCTGAAAGCCTATTTTCCATTCTCCAGCACAACAGTAAACTTTTTAAGAAGTCGATGTTCACATTAATTTTGTTGTCGGGAACGATGACAAACCTATGTAGAGTTTGCATTCCATCTTCTTCCACGTCGATATTCGGTGCACCCAGCACCGAGTATCAATGTTTCCGAGTCCGAACAGTTTTGCAAAACTTTTCTGCAGGGGAATTTCAGAGAACTTATCCTTGTATGTAGGTTATCAGCTCCAGTGCCTACTAGGCATGCCACGCTCTTTTTGTTGATCGCTAGTACTTTCTCCCTCGAATCGCTGATTGAAGCAATACCTCTGGCTCTGGTTTTATTTCTGATCGAAACGCTTTACTGGTTTTTCTGCCTTACCAAGGTCGTTCTGATTCACTGCTCCTTGAAAGTTGTCGCACTGTATAGAGGGTACTCGAGATCGTCACGGAGCTTAAATTAATCTGCGATATATCGGAACACCGACTCATCCTCCACAATTCCACGGGCTGCTATCTTACGCATATGCAAAACATATTCGTGAAAATTCTCGTTGTCGATTTTCTTTCTCTTGAAGCTGCCTGTGTACTTTAGCACTGGTCAGCGTCTTATCAAATTCGTCCAAAAGTACTTGGCATAGGGTATCATAGTCCGAAACAGTGGTGGACTCCAGGAATAACATTGGAGTTCCCTTCATTTTCATACGAGCGTTCACATATTTATGCTTCAGCTTCGCTCAACTCGTTGTTGTTAGTGTAGACTTCTTCGCGATTATTGTTGTATTTTAGCTCCTGTTGAAATTCAGCTTCGTGTGTTAAATCACTACTACTAGCGAACTTAACTTGCTCCTCGATATTATTTCCCTTCTCTCCACGTCAACCGGCATAAAGAAAGTATGATTCATATTTACCACTGCTGCTGCATTTTGGGAATCTTCTGGATTCTTTTTCTGTTTTTTTTGTTTTCCACCTCGATTGCATTTTTTGTTCTTTATGGCGGAATGAATCATTTTTGCCAACTTTTTTGCAATGTCAAATTCAATTGTCAAATACACCAACAGATTTTTCACATGCACGACGGTTGAGCCCCCATGTAAGATAATTTTATATTATCTGTAGTTTATTAATAAAGTTTAGAGGTATAATAGTAAGAGTGACATAAGTTTTGATATTGATTAACGCGACTTTGGGACTGAAATTATACCTTTACGACGAAAGACTTTTTTCACAACTTCTCTGTATCTTAATTAAGCTGATAGTGATGGACTATCGAGTGTCATTTAAGAAAGCAGCGTGACAAGGACTGCCCACCTATGTCCAATCCACCAGCTACATACTAGCAGGAAAATTGTGGGCGCCACAGGCTTAGGCGTTTTGTGGGTGTTACAGTGGGCGTGCCAAACTGATTTTTAGTCAATCGATAGGTATTACTGGACAATACATTTCAGTTAGAATTTTTATTCTAGCATCATCTAGCGGCTTGTGGGATTTAGAGTGGGCGTAGCACGCCCACTTGCGCTGCGCTGGGCGTGGCACGCCCACTTCTTGCGCTGCGCAAGAAGCTCAGGAATCGGTTTGTCCGTCTGTCCGGATGAACGCTGACATCTCGGAAACTATAATAGCTAGGCTACTGGGACTTGGCATGCAGATTCCTGAGCTTCTTGCGCAGCGCAAGTTTGTTTCAGCAGCGTTTTGATAACGCCCATGACGCCTAAATCTGTCTACCGCCTACATAGCCATATATTGAGATCGCGGGTAAATGGCTCATTTCAATATCGCTTTGCTGCTTGCGTATCTCCATTTCCCTTTGGTCCCTTTAGCTGAGTAACGGGTATCTGAGAGTCGAGGTACTCGACTATAGCGTTCTTTCTTGTTTAACTTAGGTTTTCTATAAGGGTGGAAGTTATGTTTTTTGATTCAATCGAATTTTCCTCGATATGACGCCCTGAAAACCGGTAGACACGATAGAAAATTGTACACTGAGCATCTTATCTGCTTGAACGAACGCTTTAAAATACTTATATTTTTTGTTTGTTTTTTTAACAATAGGGAAGCCAAAAAAGAAGTTGAATTTTTTACTTCTTCTTTTCTTATTCTTCTTAAGAACAATTTAGAAGATTTTAAAATACACTAAAAAGATGTTATACGAACACTAGTTGTGATGTCCTCAGAATGAGAACAAAATGATCTAAATGTAGAAATGTACCTAAATTGATTAATATACCATTCAAAATCTAAAAAATCAAGAAAAACGACTACCTTACCCCATACATCCCTTTACTACCAATATAACTTTTATAATATTCTCATGGTCCCAAAAATATAAATCAAGTCCGAAATGAGAAAATCTGTAATTACTAATATCAATATCAGCCGCATTCGATACGAAGAGATACCTAAGCGATTTGTTAAGTTGACTCTAAACGTTACAATTTAATATATGCACAGACTCTCTTTACCCCACAGCCCATCGTTTGTAGGACTAAAAGCAAGAATGGAGACAGGAATGCGGCGGCCTCCCTGACACACTTTTACAGCTCTTGCAATTACGGCTGGTGGTGTGTCTTCTTAAACATTGGTCCGGCACTCTTCGTCGATGGCGACATGCGCTGGTCAACCTTGCAAAGAGTAAAATTCCCGGGCCACAACTCTCGGCGAGAGAATTCCTCCGTCAACAGCATTGCGTCGAAAGCTCGATGTCGTTCGAATCCGACGACTGTCTTAGTTCTGTGCAGAGTCCTCATTCAGTTCTTCGTGGACATCCAGCAGCGCGGACGTGTTACACAGGCCGAATCTATGTACCTGCGAGCGATAGCGTATCGGAACAGACGAGAACGTCTTATTGCGCCAAATTTTTGTATGCTGAAAACAATATGTTTGTTTAAGTGCGTGTGTGTTTTTACAATCTTTGAAAAGTAAAACATTTTAAGGAGCATTAAGCACCCATAAAAGTTCTGAAACTTCTCGTTATTTTCGTCGCAAGGACATGATAAATTCAAAGCTGAATCTAAAAATCAAAAAAACTTAGTACGGAAACGAGAAATGTAATGTTCATCGGAGGGTATACGTCCACGAACATACGCTCTTTAATAAACCTAGTAATACCAAAAAGTGGCCTGTTTCTTTGTGTCCATACCTCGGCACTATCCCTTGAGCCTCTTGTTTTCAATTTTGCCGCGAGTTCTGTCAGCAAACGAGGTTACCACTTGAGATGCATTCCCAAATGAGGTTCTCGTATAATGTGTGCGAGCAGAGCCACTGTCATTTTCAATAGCCAAACTTTTGGAAATGGATAATCGTCTGTCCAGAGCAGTTCTTAATTTGAGATTGCTTAGTTGGTTGAAAATCTTTAAAGCCTACAGAAAACAGATAAAAGTTATCATATATGATCCCTTATTATTTATCATTAATAAAAACGTCCTGTTGGAAATAATTGTATTAAACAATAAGATAAAGTTCTATCGTTGTGCATTTCTTAATGCAATGTTACAATTGCAGTGTCGACTTTAATGTAAACAAGTGCCGTCCCAGTTCTGCGCCCAAAATTTTCATGCCCGAAAAAATTTTTAACTGAAATGTACTAGTCTCGTCAATACGTATCGAATGACCCAACGATTAAATCTTTCTGCCGCCCACACAACCATAATTTGAGGTCGCGGGTAGGTGGCGCATTAGAATCTCACTTTGCTGCTTGCATTTCTCCATCTCCCTTTTGTCCCTTTAGCTGAGTAATGGGCATCTGATAGTCGAGGTAAACGACTATAGCATTCTTCCTTGTTTAAAAGTCAGTTTTCCAAAAATCAACATTTTTGAAAAGTTTAAAACCAGAAAGTGGCTGACATCCATTAAGCATTTTGCTTTAAATGTACGATGGTGATATTGACATTGCGATATGTAGCCAGCCGGTGCTAATTTGCATGTGCGTGCATATGAATTTGTATGCGCTAGCTGATGGGTTGACGGCTGGCGGTGCAAGGGAAACCGTGTCATAGGTTGTGGCCTTTGCGAAACGGTGCGTCAATAACATTACCGTAAAATGGATTAACTTAGAAAATGGTTTTATTTGAGCTACAAAACAAAAAGAAAATATGCAATCGTCCTTTGGTCAGTTAAGAAAATTAATATTAGTAATAGTAATTGGATCGAAATTTGAGTGGCATCGTTAGAAATTTCGTTAAAGAAGCTGGGATTGTAATGCGTCTGACTAACGAAGCCGACAGAGGCAACTGCTACGCCGACAGTCAATCTACTGACCATAAATTGCTCGCCCCTGCCAAAGAATGGATTACCCGAAAGCCAGGAGCCTGGTGCTCTCCTTCCTGTTCATCATCACCGTGGCCACCTCAGATAGTGAAATTAATTTTCGCGTCGATCCGCTGGGTAAGCATAAGTTAAGATAAGCCATAAATAGTAGGATTCGGAAAATAACACTAAAATTGCTTAAAAATGGTGGAGAAAATTGTATACATCAAAAAGACCAATTTAAGGTTGGCGGAAATATTTTATTTGGGCTTAAAATAGCATTACAATCTATATTTAGTAAATTAAAAAAGGAAGAGTAGGGGTTCTTACTCCTAAGGATAGTTAGAAAAGCATTGGTTAGACATTGCATCTATAAATAAAAAGTCATTACTATTAATGTGGTATCATTGGAAAGCATGATCTTTTGGGTATAACTTATAACTTTTCCTACACCACTTTGAAGTCAGTTGCAAAGTCTTCTAGAAATGTTGCAAAATGTATAAATACTTTTTTAACTATCCTTGCCCCAGTATTGGTATAAAAATTGTATATATGAAATATATTTTTTTTAATTTAATTGGACTCTTTGGAAATTAATCTGTTTATGTCAAATGGAATATATATATATTTTTTTTAAACCCCCATTTATGTCAATTTATTTTTTTCTTTATTGATCAATAGCATTTGATTATTCCCTGAAATTCGACGGTCAACTTTTTTTTGGTCGATTTCGACTGCGTATTGGACCGCTTGGCTTAGTTTTACTACATCTTGGGTCATCGAGATCTCGTTGACAGGTGCAATCACCAATGGCAGTATTACTGGCACCATGAAGACTATATATTCACTTCAACACAATCCGTATTGTCAAATACTAAATTAATTCATAACTTCTTCATCTGATGGCGTTACAAGTTCAAATTTTTGGTTTCCCCCTCTAGAGATCTAGTGTATCTTCTTTAAAAACGGCGCGTACCTTTCCGTACCTTCCTTAATGTACCTTCCATATAAGTTTTAACACGAAGCTATACAAAATCGAGCAACACACTCTGTATCTACCAACTTTTTGTTGTGTTTTCTTTTAATTGCTATGCCTTCTGTGGATGTCTCAAGACTCAACCACCCATCTTACATTATAGTTTACTACTATAGTTTACTACTATTATAGTTTATACTATACTATCAGAAAAAATTAAAACTTCTTAAATAATGATAAATTACCCGATACTCGTGGAGTAAAAGGGTATACTAGATTTATCGGAAAGTGTGTAACCGGTAGAAGGAAGCGTACGCGACCCCATCAAGTATATATGTACATTCTTGATCAGGATGCCTAGCCAAGTCGATATAGCCGTGTTCGCCTGTCCGTATGAACGCTGGTAAGTGGAACACTACATTCTCGCTTTGCTGCTTGTATATCCCAGTCTCCTTTTGGTCCCTTTAGCTGAGTAACGGGTATCTGACAGTCGGGCACTCGACTATAGCGATCTTCCTTGTTTTGACTTCTAACTCGTGCAATTCGCGACACATATGTAAAAACCTGCTTTTATTCCTAAAGCAAAATTAGTAGGAATTATTATTTTTCAGAAATAAATATGGCACTATCATTTTTAAAGAAAATCTAAAGTTCGTCGCTTCCGTAATTTATATATAATACTAAAAACAATTGGTCACTATTTTTTTGGAAAGCTAATAGTTGGTGTCGAAAAAGCCAACTAATTGTTGATGGCGAAGTCTGGCATGTTACGCAGTCGCAAAGTCAAATATTATAGAGTCCTTTTGAATTTGTTCAATATGTTCAAGAAAATGTACATGAAATACTACTCATCTTCATTGGTGCCAAAAAAGTGGAAGAATTTTAATAGCAACTACAAAATAAAAGAAGAAAGTGTGGCGCGGATTCCAGGAACACGAAAGATACACCACGCATCCCGTAACAAACAAATCGACATTTTTATGGGCCTCACAACACTTTGAACAAAAAACAAAATGTAAAAAAATATTATAAGCGTGCAACATAATTCAAAGATAAACTTTTGTTTCAAAAAGTATGTAACAGGCAGAAGGAACCGTTTATGTAAAGTAAAGTTTATATATTCTTCGTCAGGATAACTGCATAAAAAGAAAAATTGATATGATATGATGGTCAATTTGATGAAATCCAGTATCAATTCGACCGTGACATACGGCATCAATTTGATATGCACGAAAATGTTAAAACCGATATTTATACCCGTTACTCGTAGAGTAAAAGGGTATACTAGATTCGTCGGAAAGTATGTAACAGGCAGAAGGAAGCGTTTCCGACCCCACAAAGTATATATATTCTTGATCAGGATCACTAGCCGAGTCGATCTAGCCATGTCCGTCTGTCCGTCTGTCTGTCCGTCCGGATGAACGCTGAGATCTCGGAAACTATGGGAGCTAGGCTATTGAGATTTGGCGTGCAGATTCCTGAGCTTCTTACGCAGCGCAAGTTTGTTTCAGCAATGTGCCACGCCCACTCCAACGCCCACAAACCGCCCAAAACTGTGGCTCCTACAGTTTTGATGCTAGAATAAAATTTTAACTGAAATGTATTGTTCTCATCAATACCTATCGATTGATCCAAAAAAAAATTTGCCACGCCCACTCTAACGCCCATAACGCTTAAATCTGTATACCGCCGGTAGGTGGCGCATTTTAATCTCGCTTTGCTGCTTGCAAATCTCCATTTAGGGCGTGGCATCTTCGCGTAAAAAACTTGCACTGCGTACAAGGCTACGGAATCTAAATCTGAAGTCCCAATTCTCTATCTTCTATAGTTTTTGAGATATGCGCGTTCATATGTACGATCAATCGATAGGTATTAACAAGACTAATACATTTGAGTTAAAATTGTTTATCTAGCATACAAATTGTGGGCACCACGGATTTGGTCGGTTTGTGGGCGTTAAAGTGGTGGGCGTTAGAGTGGGCGTCGCACGTTGCTGAAAAAAACTTGCGCTGTGTAAGAAGCTCAGGAATCTGCATCCCAAATCTCAATAGCCTAACTCTTATAGTTTCCGAGATCTCAGTGTTTATCCGGACGGACGGACTGACGGACATGGCTAGATCGACTCGGCTAGTGATCCTGATCGAGAATATATGTACTTTATGGGGTCGGAAACCCTTCCTTCTGCCTGTTACATACTTTCCGACGAATCTAGTATACCCTTTTACTCTACAAGTAATGGGTATAATGATGGTCCCAATGGTTCTTAGTCGCAGCGGTGTCATGTGTTTGTCCTGTAAAATAAATGTAATACATAATTAAAATGTATTAAAAATGTTTATTTATTTTTTATATTATTAATCGATGGCTCGAACGGCCGGATCAAATTTTGTTCTCACGCACATACGTATACGTATACGTAATACGGCATATGTTATATAACAAGTGTCTTGGAAAAAATGTTATAAGAAGGTGTCATGGTAATACAGGGCGGGTCTTCTCATACAAATGTCTATATTGAATTTCTCGAGCACGTCACTGGTGCTACACCATCTGTCACTGGTGATTAGCCTGGTGAATCACGAATAAAAAGTGATAAAAGTGTTTTTAATATTAGACTTAAACCATTTTTGGAAAGACAATAGATATTGTCAAATTAAATAAAATATAATTTACATTGAACACAAAGAACGTTATAGTCGAGTACCTCGACTATCAGTTACCCGTTGTTCAGCTAAAGGGACAAAAGGGAAATTGAGACATGCAAGTAGCAAAGCGAGATTGAAATGCGCCACCAACCCGCGATCTCAATATATACGGTAGACGGTAGGCGTCGCAAACTTTTTTTGGGCCAGTCGATAGGTATTGACGAGACTAATACATGTAACATAATTGGATATTATCTGTAGTTTATTAATAAAAAGTTTGAGAATATATTAGTTTGTACATATAAGAGTTATATAAGTTTTGATATTGATTAACGCGACTTTTAAACTGATTTTGCGACTGAAGTTATAACTTTACGACGAACGACTTTTTGCACTCCTTCTCTGTATCTTCATTCGGCTGATAGTGATAGACTATCGAATGTCATTTAAGGGGGTATTCTAGTCTAGAGGCTCTAGTTTCGAGCCTTTTTTAACAATTAATTTAAACTAAACAATTGATATTTTTACTGTCGGGTTTTTTATAATTTGTTTATTTAACTTAGAAGAGTACATAAAATAAAATTTAAAAAAAAAATATTTTTTTTTCATCGAGTTATGCGTCCTTGAAGTAGAGGGGGAAAAAAAAAGGCCGTGTCCTCGTCGCCATGATTTCTACCCTTGTGGTCATTTGAAAAAAAAAAAAAAGATTCTTAGTCAGTACGAATGTCGCTATGTCATGAACCAGCCAAACTAAAAAAAAAAATTGTTTTCATAAAATGGCGGCCACTCAAAAAAAGGTCGATTTTTTTTACTAATTTTGTAATTTTATCGAATTTTTTAAAAATATTACAATTTTTAAATTCCAATTTTTTGTTGGTTCATGCGATAGAGAGATATTGAAAGAATATTCATGCCAAATTTTAAGTAAATCGGCTGATTAGAACTTGAAATATTATGGCTACCGTATCAGAAAAAGTAGTTTGGAGAAAAACGCGTTTAAAGTTTTACGTTAAATTTCAGGCAGTTTAACTGATAAAATAGCACGTATAACTTACATTCTCTTAATCAGCCATAATTTTAAAAATAATTTGAATTTTGAATAATCCGTTTAGGGAGATATTTTTAAATATCTAAACTATCAAATTATGAAAAAAAAAAATTTCGATTTTTTCAAATTTCTAGACTAGAATACCCCCTTAAGAACGCAGCGTGACTGAAGGACTGCTTACCTAAGTCCAATCTACCAGCTTACATAAATTCAATTCTCTATCTTTGATAGTTTCCTTAGAGTCCTTGGCCAACGCTCCTGAAAATATGTATGGGGATATGTTTAAAAATGCGTTTTACTTGATTATTTGTATATTTACCTTTTAGAGCTGTGTACAACCCTTTGCGGGATTTTTATTGGCACAAAACATTTCATCATCCACTTTCGGGTAACGGCGCCCATTAAACACGCCTTTGAAATGGCTTGCTTTGTTTTTAATAACTTAAACAGAATGCACCAAGTC